ACGCTCGTTGAGTATCACTCGCAAGTTACTTATACGAATGGTTACGAATAAGTTAGGAATCGAGTCCCACAGCTGCTGATCACGATGAATTGCTCAATTTTTTACAGCTTAAAGCTTACTGTACCTTATATTGTGGACCCGGCGGAAACGCTCACAGTATGCACGTTATTAGACACCAGCTGCTCCCTCGGACTGCATTCGGAAACATCGCTCTTTGATGTGCTTTCGTGACTTCGGTCACTGAAAGTGCAACGTTTCCGAACGCAATTTGAAAGTAACGATAAAAGTAACGATAAACGGTTATATTCGTTACCCGAAGAAACTTCGTTACCGTTGCGGTTACTACTAGAAAAAAAGTAACGCCGTTACCGAGTCGTCACTGGAAAAAAAGTAACTTGCAACAGTAACGCGTTACTTCCCAACTCCTGCTCCCGCATCACATTTAAAATGTCAATAATTTGCCGAAGTTCTCAGTTCCGCTTTTAACCCCTTGACCACGGCAAACTTTGGGTAGGGATACATTTTTGTGAGAACATATTTCAATAATCAAAAAACTGAATTTTACTACATTAAAACAATATTATTTATTTCTCTGAACCGAATTACTATAAATATTACAAATTTAATATTAATGTAAAGCTTTTTGCGCAAGATATCTAATAGTCTAATAAAATGTGATACAAATTTGAAACATGGATAAATACATAATCCTACATCACATTTCTTACATTGGCAATGTATATATTTTCGAAAGATTTGTTACTTTGCTGGACAATGAATTCTATGTATAAGTGATGTCTTCAGAATTCGTTTATTGTCTGCTCCGGACGATGCGAACAACGGAGCCCCCCACTCCCTCTAACTTCCCTTATTTTAATATTTCGCTAATATTTAAATATTTAAATAGCAGGTGACTAACGAAATATGTACCAGCGAAATTAGCATTCACTCTCGTCTAACTGAGATCAGATCTATCAGAATAAATATCGATAAAATTTTCAGGTCGCTTTTAGGCGCCCTCCGTGTCAGAAAGCCAAACCGCGTCGAGCGCCTATAGGCGCTCTCAGTGTCACATACGCCAAATTTTTAAGCGCCTATAGGCGACCACAGTAGCCGAGGGGTTAAACGAGCGTGCTTTCCCGTCGAAGTTCGGCCGTCGCTCCGACATCTCAAAGCGCCATCAAAATTTCCACCTCGGAGGACTCTGGGGGATTAAAGAGTGCCGGGCGAATGTCCGGCACAGACGAGTCGTCGTCGTCGCCACGGGTGCGCATGGTGCATAATGGACCGGCGATTTACGCTTCGAGCAGCCGCGTGTGGGTGGCCGAACGACGAGCGTTTCTCGCTCTCCCCGGTTTATTTGCTCGCGTTTGTCGGCGAGGTGGTCCCCGAGAAACGCGCGCGTCGCACCACGCAACGCGACCTCGATCCTTTCTCCATTCTGGGACAGATCCCGCTGACGGATTTCCAATGTCGTTCGCCTCCCGCGCCGAGTCTTTGTTCTCGATTAGATCTCCCGCGGCCGATTAAGACGCGAGATGTGCTAACGACGACCCGCTAAAGAATACTTCCCCCTCTCCTGAGAAACACGTGTGTCCTCTTGCTTCATATTTTCACAATCTCTGTGTACGAGATTTCAAATGACTGTCAACGGAGAACGGACATCGACTATGTACCGCGTACGATGCACGGAGAAAACGAATTTTGCTGGAACAGCGAATGCTTGTATCTATGGTAGTGACGGCGAAAACAAAAATTTTGTTTACACGGCAAAAGGTTTGCTCGGACGGCAGAAAGATTTGTTGAGAGTATTAATTGTCCATATATCCAACAAATAGCAATTAACACTCTTAACAAGTCTTTCCGCTGTCTAAACAATTTTTTTTTCTTTGCTGCCACTATATTGACAAACATTAGCTGTTCTAGCAAAATTTGTTTTCCCCGTGTGCCTAAGGGGAGCTAAGGATTAAACGACTGACAACTTTCTACGCCCATTTCTCTCTCTCTCTCTCTCTCTCTCTCTCGTCCCTCTCCCTTTCCCGTTCTCTTTCATTCCGCGCGATGATATGAATGAAGAGTTAGTACACACGTGAAAAGTAAAATTAGCCGTTCACCGGCATATATATTTCACTGGCGACGGTGAATTATGATGAGTAACACGAGAGAGTGAGGTGCATCGCGCTGCATCGCGACATTCCGGAGCACCGAAGTTTTTATTTCAGCGGCGCGGCGGGGGGGGGGGAGGTACTGCGCACGACACATGGCGATTAGCTGATTCGAAACGTTCGCTAACCTTAACTGTAAAACGTGTATCGTGCAATAAAACGGCGTAGGGGGGAGTCCGCGAGAAGGGGGGGGGGGGGGG